ACCGACTAGTATAGTCACTGCTCAGGAGGAAAGCAACGGCAAACTACCTTCTGCAAATTTTGCCAAGAACCCATAACAATCATGAAAGAAATGATGATCTCCAGATGGGTGTATCAGACGCAGGACATCTTGCTCATGATAGGAAGGTTTTCCGGAGGGTTGTTATGGCAGCGAGGTTCCGCGAGGGACATGCTACTGAATGAATGAATGAATCTGAAATACATCGAAAACAACGCCAACTAAACAATACAATACATAATTATCGTACCTAACAAAGACACTTTACAGCAAAAAAGACCAAACACATTTCTTCACCATTAAGTGAAGCAAAGAAAACAAACCTTGGATGAGAAGTTCAGTTCAAATCATTTATCAGTTGAAACAGGAAGCTTTACCATTTGTATGTAAATTCAGTCATTTAAAAAATGTAACGTTTGTTGTCAATAATCTTAAGAATGTAATATTATCTTTGCCGAATAAATACGGCAATAGGCGTCCGGCATAACGTTGACCACATCACACACTAAGTCCTGATTGGTAAATAAAATATAGGTCTAGCCCTATATGCCCAGTACGGCTAACGGTTTAAACTCAAAAACTGCAATTGCCGTTTGGTTACCGGTTGCCCGGTCAGTTGAAATTACTATGCCATTAATCAATATGCGGTGAAGTGCAGGAAAAAAAAATGAACAAATGATTTAATCAAAAATTGACATCGCTGCATTTGGGACATTCCCCTACTTGATTTGCTCCCTTCCCCAGAAGCCAACGAAGAGCTATCGAATTGATAGTATGCAACCTGATTACCATCTACCTGTCCACTCACCTGTGCGAGAAAGCAATCAAAGCCTTTAGTCTACTCCTCGCTGAAACAGTGAATATTGAATGCGGAATTAAGAATCGACATCACAGTACTTGGAGCCTCCCATAGGTGCTTTGTCCCCATCTTCAGCAGCAAGCGAAGAGTTCCAGCTCCGATGGTACCAGTAACTGTCTGATTGTACATCCGTCTCACCGTTCCCTTGAGTGTTGAGCGTCGACCAGGTCACCTAGTAACTCCCCACAGCGCCATTCTCCCCAGACCGTGGTGATCTATTTGTGCCTCCTAATTGTTCACCCGCTCCTAAAGAGCCCTTACAACATTCAGCTTGTCATACATCAGTTCACCATTAGGTTGTGCACAACAGGCTAGTCTATCTGCCTGCTCGTTTCCCAAGACACCGGCATGTCTTGAAAAAATATCCAAAGGATGCTAACTACCAGGGACCTTTGAAGCGATGCTTGCCAATCTGCACATAGAATTCCTGTCACCACATTTCTCAACGTGCTCTGTTTGTCCGCTGATTCTCAAGCTAGCAAAGGCATCAGTGACTGCCACTATTCTACCTCCATTCTCAAACTAGGCGTTCTGATATCATATGCCAAGCTTTGCTGCACCAAGTGAACGAAGTCAATTCCCTTTTGCTATGAAATCCCCTTGCACTTCGTCTGACTCTCAACACAGCCCCAACTGTATAATTACATCACCTGGGAGGGAATTGTCATGAACCATTAGTTGAACTTCTGATTTTGCAGCACCAGCTGTCCAGTCCCTGCATTCTTGACGTAAAGAACCATACACAAGTCTGATTTTTGCTCAGACACTTTGACCGATCCTTTCCTCGCTGAAATTTATCAAGCCTGCACACATGTCTAATTGTGTCTTCAGCTGGCGCCATCCAAGACTTTCCTCTTTTCAGTCTGTGACCCTTAGCTCTACCCATTGCTTCATGCAGGAGATGCCTTTTGTCTGTAGCTACTCTGAGATATGACTTTTCTCACATAATTTTGAGCCTGTCTGTAGTTTAGAGATTAGTGAGTGTGTTTCACAGTGTCAAAATTTGTAGTGGGCAGTTTAGACAAGTTCGTTTTCATGGCTTTCAGGCAGTGGCACGAGAATGCCACGTTGGAAGAAATTAAAATGTCACCATCCAATATCCCCAAAGACAACAGTAGATTCGCTTGACATCTGCAAACAAAATCCACTGCGGAAAGGGCACAGACCCTAGGCTTTTTTTCGACTCCCCCCCCCCCACCCCTCGTGTGGGTTCCGGGGCCCCATTGTGGGGAAAACAAGAATAGACCCACTGCCTCCCCAAAAGCATGTCGTAAGAGTCAACTAATTGGGAAGCTTCCTTTGAAGTCGGAGTGAATCTGCCGGATAGGCAAGGAACCAACAGTCTGTATTCAAGAGAATGAGATCTGTAAAACTGATGCACTCGCAACACGCAGGTTCTGGAGCAGGACTGCAGTTCAGTAGTGGACGAGCAACCAGAAATTTCTGCCAGAGTGTACAGCTGGTGAACACGAAGAAGAAGAAGAAGAAGATTTCGACTCTCCAGTTGCTTGTTAATCATCCATTATCGGCACAAAATACTGTGTTTGACACAGTGCATTCTTCTCAATGTGTTGCTGAACTGATCGTTACAGCTGTTGAACTTCTAATTGTTCTTCTTCTTCAGCATTCCGAGCCCTTGAGGTTCACTGTTGCAGATAACACCCACCTCCATTCATATCTCTGGTTGGCATTCTCTTTCCTTTTGGTGACACCAAGTGTTTGCAGATCTGTCTGTACATTATCTCTCCATCGTCATCTTGGTCTACGACCATTCATCTCCATTGTGTATTCAGTTCTTTGCTCGCATGATGCTCTTACTTTTCATACTTTTGAAAATAACTTTGTCAGTTAATATTGTTAAAATTCTTTTGTAGTTGTAGTGAGAGTAGTAGTAGTGGTGGTGTTAGTAGTGGTAGCGGTAGTAGCAGTAGTAATAGTAGCAGCAGCAGCGGCATAACTAGTAATAGTAAAAGCAGTAGTGGTAATCACCAGTATTGGTTGGTTGTAGTAGTTAATGGTGGTAGTAGTAGTAGTTGGTGGTGGTAGTAGTAGCAGCAGCAGTAGTTGTAGTAGTAGTAGCAGCATCAGCATCAATAGTAGTATTAGTATTAGTAATGGTATTAGAAGAAGTAGTAATAGTAGTAGTAGTAGTAGTAGTAGTAGTAGTAGTAGTAGTAGTAGTAGTAGTAGTAGTAGTAGTAGTAGTAGCAGCAGCAGCAGCAGTAGTAGTAGTAGTAGTAGTAGTAGTAGTAGTAGTAGTAGTAGTAGTAGTAGTAGTAGTAGTAGTAGTAGTGGTATTAGCTGTTGTTCATGATGTTGTAACTGGTTTTGTAAATTGTTGCTGATGTTGTTGTTGGTGTTGTTATTATGATTATCAGAGCAATGGTGTCAGAAGTGCAAGTAAATATTAAAGTATAAACACACAACAACAGTGAAGAGGGTAAACACATTTCTCTACTGTCATCAAATGTATATTTTATTTCTTTAAATTTTAAATTAAAAAAAAAATGTTTTTGCGCAAATAATAATATAACAAAACAGAAAGGTATGACGCTAGTTGACATCATTAATGCTACCATTTTCATTTCTCTTTTCGTATTTTCTAAAACGATGCGTACAGGAAACGGCAAATCATACGATGACATAAAAGGAGTTTTGGAGACGCTTTGTTAATTACTTTAATGCATATTGGACGTATCGTGTAAGTGTCAAAATTTATCGGCAAACTGAGACTCGATGGTCTTGCATGTGTCATGCGCTCAGGGTGGCTTCCGTCACGTGATAAGAATTAGATAAGAGGCATAAGGTGGATTCTTCTTCTTCTTCTTTTTCTTCTTCTTTCTCTTCTTCTTCTTCTTCTTCTTCTTCTTCTTCTTCTTCTTCTTCTTCTTCTTCTTCTTCTTCTTCTTCTTCTTCTTCTTCTTCTTCTTCTTCTTCTTCTTCTTCTTCTTCTTCTTCTTCTTCTTCTTCTTCTTCTTCTTCTTCCTCTTCTTCTTCTTCTTCTTCTTCTTGGCGTTCATCGGCTATAAACTTCGAGGGAAGCACCTATTAACTCTAATCCTGTTCAAGAAATTGAATGGTGCTTGCACCCGTTTCACAGGTCTGAGTCCTTTGCATGCAGACTGTTGGTTTCTTGCCTCTCAGACATATGTACTCTTTTTAAGAAAGCTCCCAATTAGTCGACTCTTACGACATGCTTTTAGGCAGGCAGTGGGTCTATTCTTGTTTCTCCCACAATGGGGCCCCGGAACCCACACGGTGAAAATGGTGGATTTACTTTGCCCAGGATATTCAAGTGTGTAAAGTAATGAGCAGGTTGATGATTAGCTGCTGTCATTCCTCTGGGTGATGAGCTACTTTATGATGAATCGGATATCGTTAAGGCTGTCTGGAGTCGAGTAAACAGAGCAACAGACGGAGCAGTCCTATCTGGAGAGAATAATTCACTTGAAAGTAAGCACAAGATCTCAATAATTGTCTATCAGCAGGGGAAAAAAAAAAAGACGAAATTTTAACCCTATTATATTGAGCACGACCAGTATGAGAACTCTTCCTTGGTTACTGAGGAAAGAGACGGACCACGCAATGCAGTGCCCCGAGTGCAGTCCTAGCAATGCTTGATTCATTTGTTCAATAATCCATTCACTCGATTGTCATATTGTTGATCACAGATTTACTTTAAATTAATGCTTCAAGTTAATGCTTTAAATTATTGCTTTAAATTAATGCTTTAAATTATTGCTTTAAATTAATGCTTTAAATTATTGCTTTAAATTAATGCTTAAAAATCCACTTGCTAAAAGTAATGATCCTGAGTTAAGTCAAGAATTGACATCACAGCAGTCGGGGCATTCCCGTGCATGCTGCGTCCTCATCTTCAACAGCCAGCGCAGAGTTCCAATACTGATTGTACCGGTCACAATCTGGTTATATGTTCGTCTTGCCTTTCCTCTGAGTGTATGAGTCGGCCAAACCCTTTGGTTACACCCAAATGCCTCAATCTCTCCAGGCCATAATAGTCTGCTATCTCTAATGATTCCGTAGCTTGTTCCCAAAAGGCATTGACCACATCTGCTGAAAGTAAGGATTTAAAACAAGATACATTTTTTAAGGGTAGCACAGATTAAAAATCATTGCGGAAAATGCCACAAGGTGGCAGTTTATAGTCGTGATTACATTTTCTGACAATCCACCGGAGTTCGTATCTCGGTTTGACAGTTGGTACAATGTACATGTTGGGTACAAACATCTTGTGAGGTAGCTGTGGAGAAGGGAAAATACATTTATACTCGTTTCCACATTTTGTAGATATGAGGGAATTAACCCTTTGTGTGTGTGTGTGTGTGTGTGTGTGTGTGTGTGTGTGTGTGTGTGTGTGTGTATTATACATACATACATACATATAAACATAAGGTGTATGTTTAATTACTGTAGACTTTTTTTAAATCAATATTTTGCACACTGTAATTAAATGTGTGTATTACGTCATGTTTCAAGTGGCATGTAACTGTTAGTTGAGTTGAGTCAAGAATTGATATCACAGCACTCGGGGCATTCCCATGCATGCTCCGTTCTCATCTTCAGCAGCCAGCACAGAGTTCCAATACTGATGGTACCGGTCACAATCTGGTTAAAAGTCCGTCTTGCCTTTCCTCTGAGTGTAGTGAGCCGGCCAGATCCTCTGGTTACACCCAGGTGCCTCATTCTCTGCATGGCCATAATAATCTTCTTTCTCTACTGATTCCCTTGCTTGTTCCCAAAGGGCCTTGACCACATCTGCTTTGTCATTTATCAATTCACCACCCAGTGGTGCGGATCCAGGCAATCTGTCTGCCTGTTTATAATAGCCTGGAAAAAAAGATCCAAAGTATGATCACCACCCGTGACCTTTCATGTGAAGCTTGCCACTCTGCTCGAAGCATCTCTGTCTTCAGCATTTTTCAGCATGCTTTCAGAGTCTGTTACAGTTATGATATGTGTATGCATCTTGTTCTCTAGCCACTTGTAACTGTTAGTTTAGAACATCACTGCTTTATACTGGTGTTTTAGTAATTGATCTTACTGTAATAGTGTAAACTATTAAACAAATGTGTAGCGCAACAGTGAGGACATTAGTTGAGCATGTGTGGCGCAACAATGAGGACATTAGTTGAGCATGTGTAGCGCAACAATGAGGACATTAGTTGAGCATGTGTGGCGCAACAATGAGGACATTAGTTGAGCATGTGAAGCGCAACAATGAGGACATTAGTTGAGCATGTGTAGCGCAACAATTGGGACATTAGTTGAGCATGTGTGGCGCAACAATTGGGACATTAGTTGAGCATGTGTGGCGCAACAATTGGGACATTAGTTGAGCATGTGTGGCGCCACAATTGGGACATTAGTTGAGCATGTGTGGCGCAACAATTGGGACATTAGTTGAGCATGTGTAGCGCAACAATGGGAGGTATTCGAATGTAGTTGTTCAACAATTTATGATGACCTTACCTGATACCCAAGTGCCTCATCCTAATACTGTCAGAAATGTAACCAGTAGATTTAATTGTGAACAGAGCCGTCATGTGAAAACCAGTACCCAAAATAAGACACGCTATAGCTGAATATAACTACGTAAAGTTGCATAGAGAAACCACACAAGAGCCAGGGGCTGCTGGGGTTGGTTCTGCAATGTTCTGTAAAGGATACGCAACTAACCTATAGCTGTATATGTATGTGTGTGTGTGTGTGTGTGTGTGTGTGTGTGTGTGTGTGTGTGTTTGAGTGCACGTAGCTGGCTGTACCCATGAGTGTGTGTGCTTGTATGTCTATGTATGAGCATGAGTAAATGCATGTTTTTGTATGAGGCTGTATGTATGAGTGTATGTGTATACGTTTGTGTGTGTGTGTGTGTATATATATATATATATATATATATATATATATATATATATATATATATATATATATATGGGTGTGCTTGTGTCTGTGTACATAAGAGCATATGCGAGTGTATGTGTACGTGTATAGCTGGAGTGTGTATGATTATGTATGCATAATGTGTGTATGCACTATTTAATTATGCATGTAACTATGCATACTTTTATTTAAACATAACATGCATTAATGATATCATACAGATGTGGTCTGAAAGGTGAGTGCTTGGAATGGACGAATGTAAGACGAGCCTGCGTGCCCAATTTGTAACCCCTTGGAAATAAAATTGGTTATTTCATTCGATCTCAATAACTACTTTCTCACTTTATCATTTACTCTAACTTTTAAACTCACCATCGCAACCTCTGTTTATTTCCATCTTTCTCTCTTCCCTCTGTCAGACAGTGTGTGTCCATGTTTATCTTCTCGCGCACTGTCTATGTCCATGTCTCCCTCAGTCACTCTTATGTCCATGTCTCCCTCAGTCACTCTTATGTCTATGTCTTCTTGTCTCTGTCTCTGTCGGACATAAAGCAGAATACATTTACCTCTGAAGTTTAAAACTAAATAAGTGTCCTTTGATGAACAGAATATCATTTTTTTTAAATTGTCTAAACTGTCTAAAAGATGAACTAGCCAGCTTTAGAACTCTATAATATCAGATGACAAATAATCGTTGTGCCAAGAGGGCCTTCATCAGCTTAAAA